TTATAAATTATTATTATAAATTATTATTATAAACTGGGTTAATTTCATCAGTTCTTCTGGAATATAAAATATAAACTCTAACAGACTAATATATTTGCCATGAGGTCTTTGTTTACACTGAGTGCAGACCCACATCAGCAGGTTCATGAAGCCTCCAGGAGGCAGAAGAGTTAAATTAGTCTCTCCTGGTGTGTAGAAATCTTTTTTTTTTTGTTTAAGTTTCCTCAGTTCTTTATTAGAACAATAACGCCACAGTCTTCTGCTGACGACATCTTTTAACCCAGTTATAAATAAAAATGTTTCTGTGTCACTAAATAACCACACCTCTGCYATCAAACTAYAAACATGGCTGAATGATCATTGGCTGTGAGACCTGGAGGGGGCGGGGCTGCAGCGCCTCATTTGCATTCAGAAAGACAGCACCAAAACGAGTTGCTCTCAGACATTTATTAACATTTCAAAATAAAAGCCTCAGCCTGTAAGTGAGCGTTAGCTGCTTGAGTCATGTTTAAATAATGAGTTCTGTTTGATCTGTGAGCTGCAGAGGCTCGTTCTGCAACAGAACCGGTCCTCCTCACTTCCCTCAGCAGAGGAGGTCTGCTTCAGACCCGTACCACCTCCTGCATCGTGCTAAGATCCGTCCTGAGTGAAGAAATGTTTTCACTGCTGCAGAGAAAAACTGAACAAAGTGGATTTGGGGAGTTTGAGCTGCTGCTGCGTTCAGGGTCTGCAGGAAAATACAGCTTCRGATATCTGCTGGAAAATGAGACGTTTCTGACGTCAGCTGCTGACTTCCTGAGGGGAGTAAAGGTGTTCTGGTCCAGTGTGGTCCAGGAGGAGGAGGAGCTCACCTGGGGTCTGAAGGAACCAGGTTTCAGATCTAAACAAGTCCGTCTGCAGGGACAGTATGAGTCCAGCTCTGCAGGAACCAGCAGCAGGAGGATCAGCTGATYACCTGAAGCAGCACAGGTGTGAATCATGAACTGATGCCGGATTAAATCAACCAAAATCCTGACCCTGAAGTCCAGTCTCAGTTCTTTATCGGTTATTTCAATTCATCTGAAGCTTTTTCAGACAAAATAAGACAATAAATACATTTTAAGTCAACTCCTCTTTATAAGGACATAACAAATTCCTCATTAAAATTATAGGATTCAGACCAAATATTTATGTATTATTGTAACAAACAGGACAAATTAAGTCATATATGGATTTAATTATGATATCAGGATGATCCAGGTGTCAAAAGCCAAGAATCTAATTTGGTCATTTTGACCAAATTTGACTTAATCCTCATTTTTGATATGATTGCTCACATATTATAGGATGTTTTTCTTCTTCATTTCAAGTGTATTTTTTGTTTTGTTGTGTATAAATTTTTATTTTTAAATAAAATGACTAAATGAATTAAACTAAAATGAAGAAAAACTGGAGAAAAAACAAAGAGACATTTTATGCCTGAATCAATTCAAGCATTCTTTAAATTAAAATGCATTTTTAGTTTGTTTCTTTTAAAACCAAGATAATTATGAGATTTGTGGGATTAAATAAAAAAGATAACTGGAAAACATCAAAGATGAAGCGTCTGCATCACGTTTATCTTATAGAAAGATAAAAACAGTTCTGTTCCATCGAGCAGCAGAAATAAAACAAACTGAGTCTCATGGTTCAGATTTAACATTTCCTCTTCTGGGTTTTATGGGTTTAATAAAAATAATTCAGTTTGTTTCTTATTTTAAATAAAAATAAAATAAATACACTCTTTTCTCCCTTAMAGCTCAAATTTAACCCAGATTATATCAGATTATGAAACCTAAACCACTTCCATCTGAGCCTGCAGACCTGATCCCTGCAGGACCAGGACCAGGACCAGGACCCTCCACATGGACCACCAGTCCTTTCAACCCAACCAACAGACCAGGAGTCCCTCAGGACCCCTTCATCCTGCAGCAGAACCACCAGAACCAGAACCTGCACCCTGATCTGAGCAGCACACACACATGGACCTCACGCACGCGCCTCACCTGTGCACTCCTTCCCTTTGCCTTTGCACTCCCCGCTCTGAAGGCTGTAGGACCCCCGAACCTCCGGGGGGGCCAGCAGAAGCACGGACAGCAGGCAGGCGGACGCCAGGTACCGGACAACCCCGCCCGGACCCCAGCCGCTCCTCCCAGGGCCCAACAGGAACATGGTGGCGACCCGAACCCCCCTAAAACCAGTCCGGTTCAGGTGCAGGAGCACGTTGATGTAATCCGGACTGGAGCGTCCGGCAGCCCTGAGGAGGAGGAGGAGGATGAAGAGGAGGAGGATGAAGAGGAGGAGGAGGAGGACGGGTCCTGCAGAGGAACAGATCCGGATCCCGGGAGGACCGGGCTGCAGAGAGAGCTTCAGGAGGCGGTCCGGTTCGTCCGGGCTGGAAGCATCCTGTCCCTCCGAACCGGAACTTGACGTCTCCTGGCGGACAGCACCTTCAATCCGGCCTCTGTCGCATCCGCGCACACCGTCCCCGGGACCACCGGAGCGCTCCGGACCGCGCGGCAGTGACGCGGATCGGCGCGCGGAGCAGAGCGGCAGCCGCGAGCACAACAAAGAGATCCGGACTGAGGAGGAGGAGGACAGACAGGCTGGTCACGTGGGCGAGGATGCAACACTCCCCTCCACGTCCACGCCCCCGGCACACGCGCACACGCACGCACACACCTTACGCACCGTTGCAACAGAAATGCAGCGACGCACGCGCAGAAAGACAGGTCCAAACTAAAAATAATCCAGCTGGATTAAATTCATTAAAACATTGATTTAATCACATTTATCCCCCTGTTCTTACATTTAACTCATTTTTAATAAATGTTATATTTAAATGTTAAAACACATATTTTTATCTTAAATCCTAAATCTAAATGTTTGAATCTAAAAGTTAAACCTTAAATGTTGAAGTTCACATTTTTCGGAATGGAACGCAGCCTGTTGGTGCTGGACTCATGTTATGACGTCATCATCCTGAGACAACTGTTAGCTGTAATGCAGCTAACGCTTTGCTGCAACACATCAAACATGCAGGTCTGCTGGACTACAGGTACCACCCTTATTCTTTTTATCAACACAGTTTGAATTTAGATTTTTTTAATGTTATAATTAGCAGCAGCTAGCGGTGGCTAGCAGCAGCCATTGTTGATGTTTGTCGCGGGACGTGGAACTTCAACATTTAGATTTAGGGTTTCATATTTAAATACATTTTTAACATTTCAATTGTAAAATTGTTTGTAAAATTGGCTAAATGTAAGAACAGTGAATTGTTAATTTTCAACACTCAAAAACTGAGCTAAATAATGAAAAATATGAAAGTGAAAGTAAAAAATATGAAAGAAAAAACAAGAAACCTGCAGATTTAATCTGCAATCTGAAGATTAAACAAATGTAACTTAA